AACAGTAATTGAAAATGAGGTCAAAGAAACAACAGGGGGCCAGGACATATGGGGCCTTACAAACCTTTATAAGGATTTTTGGCTTTTATGCTCAGTGAAATTGGGAGCCATTAGAGGATTTTGAACAGAGAGGTGACATGATGTAACTTTATTTTTACTGATTCATCCTGGCTATTGTGTTCAATCTGTGCTCAGTAGGATACAAGAGTAGAAGCAAGGAGACCACTTAGAAGGCTGTTGGAATAATCCAGATGTGAGATGGTAGTGAATCAGACCAGGGTGGTAACAGAGGTAATGAGAAGTGATCAGATTTTACTTATTAGTTCATTCATGTAATTGTGGATTCCTCCCTGATCTCTCCCTTAGGTGCCAACTATGACTTTTGTGTTTTCTTAGTGTACTAAGTCTTATCACTGTCATGGCATTTATCACACTGGTTGATTTATGTAGTTCTCCCCAGCTAAAATAAACTCTTTGGGGACTGGGATACTCTTGTCTTTGTCTCTGTATCATAGCCCTTAGTGTAATAGTTGACACAACTAACTCAATAAATGTTAGTTGAAAGAGTGAGTAAGTTAATGATTAGTAGTTACTTTGCATTTGAAATAGTGATAATCTTATTCGACAGGGAGCCTTGGAATACCCAATTCTTGGACAAGACCACCTTTTCCCCAAGATGCCCATGGGAGACACAGAATCAGAGAACAAAGAAAGGCAAGGTGGTACTTTATTTTTAGCAGTGGCTTTGCTTTCTAACCTCAGTGTAGAACTCCAGTGACAGGATGGCCACATCAAGGACTCCTCTTTCCTATGGAAGATAGGACTAAGTAGTCTTGAACCAAAGCAACCTCTTAGGTTGAATCATATGAATTGATAATTCAACTGTTTTGAATTGATAGATTCATGTGGTTCAACCTAATTAGAGGCTATACCTGAGTCTCTGATCTCTCCATTCTGTATCTACTATGGCTTTAGGAAAAGGAATAAGAAAACCTATTCTTCCATTTGGAGTTTATTCCCTGCTCCCCCAAATAGCGTCCTGAAATCTGACTAATCCCAATCAGTAGTTGGTTGGAGGAATTAAAAGATAGAAACCCAATCTGAACTAGCTCAAACAAGATAAAGGAAGGTACTAGAAGGAACGCCGGAGTATTTCACAAAACAAGCTTTCAGGAAGGGCAGGAATGTGTCAGATTCAAGAAGTATAAAAACCAAAGATACCAGCAGAACTCTCTGTCTCTCATCTGTGCTTTTCTTTGAAATTTGCTTTATTTCCTGCAGAACAATATGGCAGGAAACGTGACCAGAGACATTGAAGTTTTAAATCTCAGAATTTTAGCCACTTGAGAGAGACAGGTTTGACTAATCAGGTCCCAAACCCAAAAATCTTGGGAAAGGGACTCATTGGGCCAGATGTCTATTCCAGAACCAGTTAACTGTGACCAGGTCATGAGGTGGTGTAAGAACTTGCAAGCTCCATCAAGAACTAAATGTGGCAAGGTTCCTGGAAGATAGTAGGGTGTGTTAAGCATATAATCCCATACATAACCCTACAGGGTAAAATACTGAGGAAAGTTCCCTCAAAAGAGCAGCACTTAGTCATGAACGAGATAAAAGCAATCATGAAACATGTAATTATTCTTATTCTTCAGTGTCCTAGAACTTTCTTGACATCTCATCATCAGTTATCAGAACACATCATTATACTTAAGAAACTCATAGAAACAATCAGATCAGCATGGACTTTCATAAAGCGAAGTAAAAAAAACTAGTTTCTACTATTTAAAGTAGTATTTTCATTAGCAAAGCCACTAGCTCATATGGTGCTACTCTGCACATTCCAAAAAGGCACCCTTGAATGTAAGCTCGATTTTTAGCTCATGTCCACCCCTCAGGCAGTTGCCCCTACCCATCTGTTTATGGTATCCTACTAAAAGTTACTTTAGCTATTTGGAATAAGTGCATCTGGGAATTGTTGAGTGACCCCCAAAAAATGGGTATGAAGAACTGTGAAGGATATGAGATGTTAACCCTCCTCGCAAGCAAACAAGTTAGCCTAAGATAATTTCGTGGATACTGGTGAAAGACAGGAGACTACTGTGTCAAAGACAAAGGGCAGTTTATTACAGCAATAGCAGTAGCCAGAAACATCATTCGTGTGCCTCTTCTCTAAGCCCCAGTTCCCATATGGTGACAGGATGAAGGCCACGTGATGACTCCATGTGTGGTGTGTTGCTTTACAAGAGAGGAACCTCTACAGGAGAAGATCCCGATCTTTTATAAAGAGCCCTTAGCTAATCTGTCCCAACTTTGCCCTGGAGGGAGGCATTTTCCTGTTTTCAAAGGCTGTTTGCTATACAAACATCCTTGTAAAGATTTTCAGGAGCCAAGTTGTTAATACCTTTGCTGAGAAGATGTTCAAAAACATGGCAGACTGTGGAGACTTGTTTCCCAACAACAACAGAAGGGAAGGAGAAGAGGAAGTACGTAATGTGTGCCCTTAGATGAGGAGTCAGCAAACTTTTCCTGTAAAGGGTCCAGATAGTAAATATGGGAAGCCCTGCAAGTACTCAGCTCTACCAGTAAAGATGGTAAGCCCTGCAAGTACTCAGCTCTACCACTGCAGAGCCAAAAAGCAACCATCAACAATATGTAAATGAGTATGGCCGTATTCCAGTAAAACTACAAAACAGACAGCAGGCCGTTATTGGCTTGTGGGCTGTAGTTTGCCAACCCTTACCTAAGATGATCTGTTTTGTTCAAACTTGTTAAATATCTACCTTTTTTTTTTTTTAAATAAGCCCTTATTTTCACCACCCAAATCTAGGTCTTTCTGTAATTAATTTGTTACCTTTACCTTGTATTTTGTACCTTTAGTAAGATTACTGATATTTATAAAATGCAAAGTCAGAAAAGCCATTCACAGTGTTTTGTATCTTAGAATATAAATAGACACAGATCATACGTGTTTCTGGAATATAGATATCTGATGTACAAAATATTGAACTAAAATCTTGCTTTCACATTAGGATTAATTGTATTGCATGTAAAAATTGTTGAAGGATTTATGGAACTTACTGGTTTTATTGGACAAAATATCACGTATGTAATTCATCTAGATAGCGGAGGAAGTTAATATGATCTGTATAATCTTAGAAAACAGGTTTAAAAAATCAACATTTCCAGTTAGCCCCTTTCTATAGTTAAAACGTATGTATTATTACCACGAAGTACTATTTATGAGGCTGTTTATTGAGAAAAGAATATAGACCTCTCTGTTCACCTTTGAGGATTGTCAGAGAGGACCTTTTTCAGATGTTGAATTTACTAGGTAATGCTTCTTGAACTTGAGTGAGTATGGATAGAATGAGTGGAAAAAATTATGTATCTCTTCCTTTTGCACAGAATTTTGAGACAGGGTAGAAAAAAATATTTGCACTATGTGTTCCAGGATTAGACTGAGAGAGAATCAATAAACCAACCAAGATATGTTGCTAGTCTTATGTGACTTAGGGTGTACCCTCCTTGTATTTCTAAGCACCTTATATGATGTTAAAGTGCTGATTCCTAGCTGCTTGTAAGCCAAACCCCTGCTTCTGTTCTTCTTTTCTTCTACTACTCTACACTTGCCTCTCTCCAGCTTTCAACTTTATTTCCTCATATTATGTGTTGCCCAAACTTTTATGAGTTTTCATAGAGGAAAAACTGGCTTTATCAGCATGTATTTAATGATTTAATGACAATGTGTTTCTGGAACAATGAAGAATATAAGATAAGAATTACTATCTCCAGTATGTTATCATCTAATTAAAGGAGTAAACATAAGATACTAAAAAATATGATTATCCAGTTGAAGGTTTGTGTGTAAGGTTGATTATCATAGCCTCAGTGACATGGGAATTTAAGATTTTTGCTGAGTATAAATTTATAAATATGTGTATATATACTTGGGCAGTCAAACACACACATACATATTCTGTATCTGTTTACTTATTTTTATGATGTCCATTATATCTTTAAATGAATGTTCCCTGCCAAGGATTGCTGTCTTGGGTTATGCTACTAAACTCTCCAGAATTTGTAAAGGAAATAGAACTTAGCATGAGCAATGAAACAAATGAGTTTTGAAAATAATTTTTATACATGGAAAAGAACCTAAGCTTAGAAGTGGAAGTGTTTTGAAAACTTAAAATGCTAGACTGCTAGCATCCTCAAAAGGCCAAAGTAGAATGCATAGGCCAGTTGCCCCATTACTTTAGGTAGCCAGAATTTAAAATGTACTTAATTATTTGTTATGTTTTAGAAATAAGCTCTTTTGTGCTTTTTTAAGATGATAATTTTAAATTGCTCACTCTTACAAGTTGAGCTTTTGGAGAAGGAATACTATATTTTAATGATGCTTAGAAGACACTGCTTATCATTTTGTATATATGATATTTAACTCTTGGATTTTTGTTGATGAATTTTAAATAACTAATATTATTAAGTTTTAATGTCAGGTATCTTTGGCATGATGAACATGTTGAATAGGTTAAAATGTACTCATAGTAGAAAATCTAGTTTGGGAGAGCACACTTGTTAGGAAAAAATCTTGATTAGGCCTGTTTAATTACAAATTGATTTTTTTTTTTTTTAAAGCGTGCCATGTCAGGTCAAGCCACATGCAATACTTTGACTTTGAATGGGAAGATAGCCATCACATGATTTTAGAAAGGACTGTGTTTCTTCATTTAATATGCTCCCTCTGAACCCACTCAAGATTGAGGAGAGAATTTAACTAAAAGAGGCTAAAATTCAACAGAAGAATATAAAGAGATAATTAGCCAAGAAAATACTGGTGGGGTGGTAGGGGATGTAGTGATACAAGACACTTTGTTTTGCCAAATAATTGAATCATATTGTAGGGTTGTAAGAAATAAAACAATGTGGAACTGGTTTAACAACTCAATCAAGGTCCAAAAATGTCTCCCACGTATGTTAAATAATGTTTGCATTTACAGGTCACTGAAGAAAAGCTAATCATTAAATCATGTTCAGACAATTGGTTAAGTATTTGGAGAAAAAGATTAAGTATAGAGGTCAGTATATCTAAATCAGTTCCACACAAATTAAAAATTGCAACCATGAAAGCTCTAGAAGAAAATATAATAGTTACCTGAGCTCAAAGTAGGGAAGATCTTTTTAATCATTAAAGCAAAGGAAGAAACCACCTTAAAGGAGGTGATAGTCTTCATTTTACAGTGAAAGAAATTCAAGGTGAAAAATGTTCAAGGAGTTGAGATTGGAAATGAAGGTGCAAAATGTTCGTTATTGGTAGATGATACTATCTTACAATTCAAAAATCTGAGAAAATCAACTGATAAATTATTAAAACTAATAAGAAAATTAGCAAGATCCCCAAATGTAGTGTACCTAGGAAAAAAACTAATGAAATTTATAAACTCTAAAAAAATTGAATATACAACAGCTTATTCTTATTAGGCACATATTATCAAAATATTTTAATATATGTTGCGGACTACAGAAAAATTTTAATGCTGTTTTGAAGGCATTTTCTTTACATTTTTATATAATTTCTGACAATATTTATGGGTATATTTGTTACTGTGGCTTACATAATACTTGAGGAAAAATAGGATAGTGTAATAAAAAATGTGTAATTTTTAAATGTTTTCTGAGAGAATAACTGTAATCACTAATTCATCTTTGTTTTTCCAATGTGCAATAGGTCAGGACTCCTGTCTTTGTACCAGTGAAAACTCATGTGCTGCTTCATCGGATGAGTGGGAGAGGACTAGCTGCCCATTATTTCTTTCCAAGACAGCCTTGTATTTTTGGTGATAAGATGGTCTCTGTACAAATAACACTGAATAATACTACTGATCAGAAGATAGAAAATATCCACATAGGGGAGAAAAAACTTCCTGTGGGAATGCAAATGCATGTTTTTAATCCAATAGGTAAATACTAATTCTCATTTAAAACTTTATACCTGATATTTAAATATATTTGTTTTAAAAGTAAAGTGAAATACATATTATTAAGTATATTTGTCAATATAGTCAGTTTAGATTTGTTTTCCCTTTTTAAACCGAATTTATCATACAAAATGAATGCACCACTTTGTTCTTAGTGAATCGGGTGCCAGCAATGGTAAAATGTACCAGCAGTGATGAAAGGATGATGCATCTGAAGAAATAAAATTGCCTCTCATTTTACTGTCATCACCTTCCCTCTGCTTCTCTTCCTGGCCAGCTTCATTCCCTGCCTGGGTGTAGTCTGCCTTTCTGAGTCCTGTCTCCCCTTCCCTGTTCCTTTCGCAGTCTGTAAGTTGGAAAGCGAAGAGAGCAAAGGCTGAGAGGATGCATGCTATTCTGTTTGTCTTCCTTTCCAGGCATAGACTAGAAAATTGCCCATAGTGTTATTACTAATATTTATACACATCATGTTTTAAAATATTTTTAATCTCTTGCTACCATTCAGAAATCAAGATGTTTTTACATTAAAAAACAAACCCAGAAATCTCACCTTTTTTTGGAATGAGGCACAAGATCTGGCAGTCCTGGCCCTCTATGCCCACCTGGCACAGAGGGGGTCGCCACTTAGACGCACCATGTGCTTTCCAGGTGACCTCTGTGCTCATCAGCTGTCATCTCCTTCCATTTTTAAAGTATTTTACCAGAAATATACCTTTCAAAAATTAAGTGTAACAATGTGTGTTACTTTGAGTTTAACGTAATAATTAGAATGTCTACCTCTATTTTTTCTGTTTGTCTAAGTGAAAACGGTGCTAGAGTTTAGTTGGGAGAAGCTTCAGGCAGTAATATCAATTAAAATGGGGCGCCTGGGTGGCTCAGTCGGTTGGGCGACTGCCTTCAGCTCGGGTCATGATCCTGGAGTCCCGGGATCGAGTCCCGCCTCGGGCTCCCTGCTCGGCGGGGAGTCTGCTTCTCCCTCGGACCCTTCCCCCTCTGATGTGCTCTCTCTCTCTCACTCTCTCTCTCAAATAAACAAATAAAATCTCTAAAAAAAAATGGATGTAAGGTTTCTGTCATTGAATCCTTGAAATGTTATCATCAGAAAGGTCCAGATAGTTCCTTTTTATAATACTTTAAGTGAGCAAAACCTTTTAGGCAGGCAATGTTGCCTTCTTTACTCATTATTTCACGTAACTCTTCTATTTTTCTTCATTTTCACCCAAGCTCTTTGACATTGTTGAATTCTCTCCTGTAGTTTTCATGATTCATTCAGTAAAAGAAGTCACTCTTTGTGTTACATTTTTATACAAAGGAGTAAAACAATTCTTAACAGATGACATATGGTAGTTGTTTATAAGCAACCAAAGTAGTTAAAGTGACTTGACTTTAGAACCCACTTTTAATACACTTTTAAAAATAATTTGGTAATTAAGACACCATTCAATGAATACAGAGTGTCCTGATTTGTATTTAAGTACTTTGTCAAGTCAATGTATTGGTAAGGAGTTCTAGAATATCCCAATTTGTATTTTTTTAATGCTTAAAATCCAGCATTTTTTACCTAGTTAAAAAATTAGTTTAAGAAATGTCAAGCAGCTGATAAATGAATTGTCTGAAGGTTGAAAATGTTAGCCAAAGGTTAAAACAGTAGAACAGTATTAACATTTCTTTGAGCTGGCATAATGAGTTGATGAGTTGACCTTTTGTTGGCCTATGTAGAATAGAAGAAATAAATATAATAAATTTCATAGTGTGGCCTTAACACAAATATAAAATACGAATCTATACCATTGCCTCAGTACTAGCCATAGGCTTTTCTTTTCTTTTCTTAGGCAAACTTTTAGGACTGTAATGTTTTATTCATTTTGTTGGTGTTTAATTGAATACCCTCAGGATATAGAGTTTTTTTCCCATGCAGTAACACCACCTAGTCTCTTTTATCAACAGATTACAGTAGTGTTACAGAGTATGATATATCTTAAATTAGTCCTCCAAAAACATCTTAAGAATACAACAAAGAACAAATACTGTATTTTAATGTTTTTTGTGAAATGAGGGAAGTAAGACGTTTCTTTAATAAGCATATATGCATATGTTAAGGAGTCCAACAGCTTTCTTATTTGTCACCAGTCTGTTTTCCTTTTTGTCTATAATATGTCTATAGTATGACTTTGGTTTGGATTTTCTCCCACCTTTAGCATGAAACTGTATTTGTTACAAGAGTATTAGGAATAATGTGCCATGCCATTTTTCTCAAAGAGACCAAGTACATAAGAGATTTAAAACACACACACACACACACACACACACACACACACACACACACACACAAGCCTTAGGGTTTTGGAACTATATTCAGTGACTTTGTGTTAATAATTGACAATTTTGAGTTCAGCTAATATTTTATTAGTTACTGGACAACTGTCATATCAAAGTCAATGGCAGCCTGTGTGATTTCTTTTTCATTATTAATGGCTGGTATAATAGGGCCCATGTTTTTCAGCCGTTTCTGTATAACCCTTTTATGTGTATAGCACTGATCCAGAGGTAGCATCCAAACACATATGCCTAATTGAGTAAACTTCCCCAATGTAGTAGGCTTCAAATAATATAAATCCATTATATAAATAATTTTATGCTGATCACTTTGCTCTTGAAGCATTCATATAATAAAACATGCCATTGATCATGAGCTGTCCTCCAGAATTAGTGTGGCACTAAGCTCACAGTTAATTATCTTAAGACTGAAGATGGTACCAAACTGTGTCAAAGAGTGCTATCAACAAAACATCTTGAAAACTGTCACTTTGTCAAACGAAATACAAGGATACATGATGTAGAGAGATCTAAATCATGAATGCCATCATGTTTTGGAGATGACAGCATTTGCTACCTATGTGTCAGCCACAAATAATATTGAGACCAAACCCCAATATATCTGTGGCACAGAAGAAAGCATTAAGGAGTCACTAAAGTATATGACTAAGCAGTGTGACTGACAGAGCTGTGAACTGATAAGGTGTAGCTAGAGAAGAAGTATAAGAAAAATATTGCAGTTACTTGCTCTACAGTAATGCCTGTTTGCTAACGATTTAGGCAGCAAGTCTTCTGGTACTTGTGAAGCATCCTGATAAATTTTAGGTTTATAAACAAATGAAATTCAAATTGGAATCAGCAAACCAACGTACATACCACTAGCAAACCAATAACACTTTAAAATCAACATCAAACAATTACTCTCTAACAATCCTGATCTTCATTGAACCTGTGAGACATAAGTATACTTCTTAACATATTAAGCTTATTGAATTATTATTTGTCCCATCTGTACCATCATTTCTGTCATGGTTAGCATTAAATGGCAAACCATACTTATCAATAAGCCCTTTGATAGTCATTGTCTACTAGATTAGAGTATCCTTGCTGAAACATAACTACATCTTATTAAGATATATAAAGGTAAATATAAAGCTGCTGTACAGTATGACTGCAGTTATACTGAAGACTTTGAGCAAAGTGGAAATTAAAAATGGATGGTTTCTGTGTAAATATATAACATATACTTTATACTAATATTTAGCACTAATATTATATATTAGTATAAATATATATTATATTTATTATATATTATATATTATATGTTATATATTTAAGATCCCTCATTATTCTAATGTATAGCCAAACTTTGGAATCATCAGCGGAATAAAACATTGTTGTTTAAGTTTTATCCTTGTCACCTGAAAAGTACCAGTATTGTCTGTTGATACAGTTATTTCCCATTCTTGCTTAGTTGATAGATGAAGCTTCGGAAATTCTAAACCTATAAGATACCATTTTATTACTTGTTTTCTCATGATCTAATCTACTAAATTTTCTTCCAGTAATTCTTTAAATAATGCAATTAGATTTACTACTTTAGTTCCTATAGTGCCAGTTGTCTTGGTTAATTTCTGAATACAAATTGATTTCTTCTTTCAGCTTTGCTTTAATTTGCATTTTTAAAGTTTGGATTTCTATTTCCACTTGAAATCTGGAACATTGTTTAAAATTTATGTTTTATATCTAGAATAAATATTCCATAGTTGTAAGTACATAATCTCTTAAAAGCACCCAAAGAGTCCTTTATAGTTGTTCCAAACAGGATTACATTTATTTCCTTCTCACCTTCAAATACCTATAAAGACAGTATCGTAAAACGTGAAATGATGTATTTCTGAAACAGATAGAAATACATGCAGAATTAAGTTATGGAAAAGAAAGCCTTCAAGCAGAATAGTGAAATTACTTTATAATTTGCTTTAATATTCTTAGTTTGAAATTGTTCTTATAAGCCATCATTAAATTTGACTGTTTTAACCACACTACAAACATTACATAAGTTTTCAGGGTTTAGTTTACCTCTTTTTCACATCCTCCATGTTTTCATGTCTACATTATCTTATTTCCTAGAATCTCTTGAGCCTGAGGGATCCATTACTGTTTCAATGGGTATTGACTTTTGTGATTCCACTCAGACTGCCAGTTTCCAGTTGTGGTAAGTTCAATTGTTCTCCTGTATTTTATATTACCTGCAAAGGATAGCAGATCAAAAGCTAGGCTTTCAACAGCTTTTCTCTTTGAGAGACAAAACATTTAAACAAATGTGCTTTTCTTTGGTAATGTTTAGACTACAATGGAATAGTTGTACAAATTGTTTGTAGCATATGTATTTTTAGTATTTGTTACACAACTAGCTATTACAGTCAGCCACATATGATTGAAATTCACAGTTAAAGTAAGAAGCTACTGCTGAATGATTTTTTAAATTATTAACTATGCAGTTTTTAAAAATTCATGAGGAAAATGCAGGAGAAATTAAAAATTTTAGTAATATTGAATAGCCCAGAGAAGATATCTTTTCAAATATCCTTTATGCTATCTTGAGCCTCTTAAGTAGAGAAGTATTGATTCTGTCAGTACCTAAAACACATACATTTTCCCCCTTTTTACTTTATTTTTCCCCTTTTTACTTTAATTTACAAACTGCCTCTGATAAGACTTGAAAGAGAACATTTATGCAGTTGGCAAAGGTTTCATGGGTGAATACTGTTCAAAAGAACCTTTCTAGGATTGGATTTTATTATTGTTATCATTTTCATGTAATGTTTTATACATTTCTGATGAAGTCCAGAAATTATTAGCAAATTAATACAAAGCCGTATTCATCCATCTTTAAGAATTATCTTTGAACTCTTACATTTTTCTGATCTAGGATCTGATTTGTTACTTTGATTTGAAGTTGCTTTGTTTTTATTCTAACAAGTATTTAAACATTTTATTTATCTAAATTTTATTTAGCTTACAACAGAATTTGTTAATGATAAAAATCACCGAGCTTAGGCAATAGACATTTTTAAATAAATTTATGGGTTAAATATAGTGAACTTTTCTTTTGCATGTACCTATTCAGTTTACCAGTAATTCAGGCCTAATATTGTACCATTTATTGCTGAGAACCTGCAATGATGAATATAAACAATGTAGCATAACACATTGATTTTATGCAGATCATCACCTTTATGTTTTGGGAGGTCTGCTATGTTAGTGATATATAAAAACTGATTACTTTTCCCAACATTGCCTAGTAATTGTTTATTATTTTTCTATTAGACAAACAACACAGATCAATATTACTGAGCACAAGACTATGAGTAACATCACTCTAAATAGATTTGCCTCCAACACCAGAGGTATATTCATTTTCGTGATTTCAACAATGTGAGCCCAATGACAAAGCTCATGCACCAAGTTAGGGCAAAATTAAAAACTAAAAAAATTTTTTTTTGTTATCAATTTATATAAAGAACCTGCTATATTTCTATATAATGAGGTGGGGGGTTCTTAAATATATTTCCATTACAGGGATTTCCTCTGTAGTTCCATTGAACAAGATTTGCATTTTATCTTTGATAATAAACTACGTCCCTTTAGGGATAGGTATGTAGGTAGTGTTTGATTTTTGTCCTACATTGAGGAGTGTATGTGAACAATTTTTTCTCAATTTCTTTTAAACTAATTTTAGGAAAATGATGAATTTATGTTACATAGAAAATAGCCTTAGCTATTATAAGCACTTATATTAATATGTTTTCCTGTTGTGAATGTATAAATTATTTTAGATTTTATTGACTGCATAAGCATACTAGATCAAAAATTATTTTTTTGTAGGTTCCAAAAAGAACACTTTGTCTTGCATCAAATGTAATTGATCCTGAAGCATGTAATCACAATTACTCACTTTCTTAATTGGCCTGCCCAAAATCAGAAAATGGAAACCGATCGGCAGTGTTTAAATCAATAGCTTGATAGTAGTGCTAGTGGGGGTAGGGAGATAGCAGTAATGGGTAGATCAATTGGTCTTAGATGCCAATCACTGACTGTGCCTTTTGCATAGTAAATAGCACTTTTTGCTTAGTGATGTAGCTCAATAAAAAGGGGAAAAAAGCAAGAATGGCGGATAGTGAATTTTTTCCTCAAAATACATTATACAAATCAATAGGTAAAATTATAGGTAATAAGAACATATTTGGTAAGAAGCCTTCAGAAATGCTGAGAACATGGACTGTAAGCCTTTCAGATACACTTGTATTTATTAAAAGAAAAGAAGCAGGAGTAAAATGATTCTACTTTAGTTTCTAGATTAATTCTATATCATTATAGTTATATGATACATATATAGATAGAACTATTATATGTAGTTATATGAATACTTGATAAGTGTTAATGTCTTTTTTTGCTTTGCATTTTAAATGGTCATCAAATTAAGTCCTTTATTAAATTTATTGAGATTTAAAATGTGTATAATATACATAAATGTATCTCTCTAAACGTAGATGTAGTGCATAAACAGGTCTCATGCAGATATTAATGTAACTGGTATGAAAAATAATATGTCTTGGATCAAATTAGAGGGCTGAGCACTAGCATCCACCCCTCTTTTTTGCCCCAAATCTACTAAAAAGACAGAAACACATTCTTTAAAAGAGAATGGGTACTAAAAACAAAATGAAACAATGTCATTAGCTCACCAGAAATTGTGAAGAATTGTTGGCATTTAGAAAGCAAATGGGAGCATATAAACAATAACAGAGAAAACTAAAACCACAGAGCAAAACACTCACCCAAGAAAACAATGGTAGGAACAAATCTAGCAGAATATCAAGCACAGGGCGCCTGGGTGGCTCAGATGGTTAAGCGTCTGCCTTCGGCTCAGGTCATGATCCCAGGGTCCTGGGATCGAGTCCCGCATCGGGCTCCCTGCTCAGTGGGGAGCCTGCTTCTCCCTCTGCTTCTCTCTCTGTCTCTCATGAATAAATAAATAAAATCTTAAAAAAAAAAAAAGAATATCAAGCACAAAGTGAACAAGTGAAAAGAAAAGTTAGAGTAAGACAGTCATCGGGAAATCAAAGAACTACTTCCAATTCCCAGTTCTCCAGCCTTACCCTAGCATCAGGCAACATTCACATTTAGTCAGAGATCTAAAAATTACACTATAATGAAAATGAACTACTTTCCTGGAAGGACTTTTGGTGCTGATGTGGGGGCCTAAGACAACAGCAGAGTTTGAATTTGTGGGAAGGAGGCAAGGATGATCAAAGATGAAATAAAATGCAGTTCTATCCAAGAGAGTAATATTCTCAGTTCTCTACCACTAGAGCAAAGTCACTCTTAAACCTGTTGTTGGAGAGAGAAGGCCATTGCTTGTCTGCCTCCCAACTTCATATCCATGTAAGCAGTCATGTCTCACCCACAAGGAAACATAAGTTATCCCACCAGAGGAGAGGAAACCCACAGTAGTAGTACTATGTATCAAACAACTGCAGTGTACTAGGCATTTTTCTAAACACTTGTGTTGTAAGTGTTAATTTATTTAATTCTCAGAACAGTCCCATGAGATAAGTATTACTATCCCATTTTAGAGGTGAATAAACTGAGGCACAGTAAAAGTAAGAAACTTGTCTAACATATAGCTAATAGAGGCACCTGGATGGCTCAGCTGGTTAAGTGTCTGCCTTCCGTTCAGGTCCTGATCCCAGGGTCCTGGAATCAAGCCCTGCATTGAGCCCGTTTCTCCCTTACCCTCTTCCTTCCCCCGCCCCCCCACCACTCGTGTTCCATCTCTCTCTCTCAAATAAATAAAGTAAAATCTTTTAAATAAATTTCTCTTTAAAAAAATAAATAACATATAGCTAATAGCAGACTTGCTCTGTGTGTTAATTAAACCAGTCCTTCATTATGAATATAAATGCACAGCTTAGAAGAACCAGACTTTTGAGGGGAAGCGTCAGTTTGAAAGGGAAGGCTCAGGGTCCTTATAAAGACTCACCATGAAGGGATTAGACAATTTGAGAAAGAGAAGAGATAGCTTTCAATATTAAAACTAAGAGAACACTACATCTGTAAAGCAAGAACATACTGCTTGTTTTGAAAAAGGAACAATTAGAAAATTTTAAATATATTCTTGGAAATTTAAAAACATAGTGCCAAAAGAAATTCATTAGATGCATAATAGAAAGCACACAGCTGAGTACTGATTCAAGTGTTCTGAAAGAGCGAGTCAGTGAAATCAACTGGAATAGAGAGCAAAAAGACATGGAAACCATGCAAGAAAGGTTAAAAGAATCGATTGTCTAATAAATCTAGAAGGAAAGAAAAGAAATAATAGAGGGAAGAAATAATGAATAAAATATAGAAGAAAAATTTTCCCAAACAAAAGAAATGCATAAGCCTTCAGATTGAAAAGACCCATCAAAGTTCAAGCAGGATGAATGTGATTGACAATCAGAAAGACCATATTCTGATGAAATTTTTGATAAGGAGCAAACCACAGTAGTATCTTTCAGAATGGAAAAAAAAAAGCAACTTACCTGAAAAAGAACAAGATTGTGAAGGGAATTTGATTTCTCATCAATATTGTCATCATTTCTGGTGGTTAGAAGGCCAAGAACATGACCTTTAAAATTTTAAGGAAACCAAATAGGCATTTTTCAGACAAGCAGATTCTGTCAGTTTACCACCCATAGACCCTTTCTTTGAAAGGATTACTCAGATATATACTGTAGTAAAAACCTTTGTTTAACGTGAAACAGAGAAAAACCCAGAGCCCAAGAAGAAGTAACGGACAAAGAATTCTGCCTATAAAACCTATCAATGTGTAAAATAATCATTCACACAAAATGTAGAAAATAAATGTTAATAATAAACCGGAACCAAAATCCCAACATGGACAAGTTTGAGAAGAAATGGTGATGTTTGGCAAAAGGATTGATTGATGGCAAAAAAAACCTTAAAATATGATTTAAAATATTAAAGCTACCCTCTAAAATAATGGGAATATGAGCTATAATAACCCCAAATGACTAGAGGTAAGAAGAAAAGGAGGGATTAAAACTTGATCAGTTTAACAAAGGAGAAGAAAAAAGCATGGTAAATAGAATACAGAGTAATGTGGCTGGAAGGGGCCACACATACCACACATACTAGTTCCCATGATTC